TTTTTTTCAAAGAAAATTTTTAAAACCCCTATATTATATTGCTAAGATTCCATGTTCATAGTAGTTCAGATCGCCATAGTTAGCTTATCCCTATCCTTTGTGGACGCTAACCTTGGCGTGTATCTGTGCAAGAGGACCAGCAAGGAGATAGACGGATGTCAACGGAACGGTTACAGACCAGCCCTGATGAGGAACTGTTATCCAGGAGGGATCTCTGGGACCAGGGTGATGACGAGAAGGGAGCGCAGGAAATGCTTGAAAATTGAGAAAATTGCAGTGAACATGTGTAACTTACAGTGCTCTTCAGGTTATAGATTATTAATTACATAATTAATTATTAATTACATATTTATCGACTGTTTTTGAAACCACCCATCTTTGTTAGTACATAGGTTATTTGATGATTTAGCTTAAAGATATGATTATAAAATTAGATTGTGAAACCTATTCTGAACCTATTTGGTATAACAGCTATTTCTATTTTAACCTAGCTCCCGAGGATCGAATAGAATTTGTGATTTTATTACTCATTTATATTCCAATATTTCTAACTATGGTTAAAATGATATGAAGTATATGTATGTTATGCTAAATTAAGATATTTTCCGTTCAAACTTATGCTGAAATTTATTATTTTTAGGTTCACTGAGAAGTAAATCAGTCACACAAAAAAGAAAGCGATCTGCAGGTATATTCACAATTATTGAATACTTAAATAACAGTGTTATTTCTTTCATCACTGAATCGTTCAACTATTACTAACTACAACTTCTTGTACAAGCTAGAAATATATTCCAAGAAAATGCATTCAATATGTTTTTGTAGCTTTCCGCATTTCAGATGTGTCACAATCGCCACTGAGACAAAAAATTGAAGGAGAAATAACATTGAAATCCGCTGAATCGTCCGTAATCCTGCGACAATACGACCCTGAACTAGGAATAGACGGAGACATGGACACCTCAGCTAAATTTGTTTCTGACGAGAACACATTCTGGTTCAAAGTACACTTCCAAGATACCCGCTGTGTCGCCCAGGTTCTGAGTCTGGACACGGGTATTTACACGCATACCTGGAACTGCACTGAGAGGGGTTGTGATGATACGTGTGGGGGAGTGATGTGTAGGTATGTAAAACATTATTCAAACAATATAATTAATTATAATACACATAATTGTCACGATGACCCTATGGCCTATATAGCTATATAAAAACAACCGTTCAACAAATCAATATATTCCCTTGTGCAGGTATGTTGATATAACAGTCCTCAACGAGGGTGACGGAACCGGAGATATGATTTTGCCCCGTAATTGTGGGTCTGGAGTCAAGGTGTCCATTTCAAGACAGATTGCCAGGGAGTTGGGATATGATTTCTTTGAAATCGCAGAATTGGCTGTGATTGGACGGGATTGCCATCATCTAGGTAAGTGATTGTCAGTTATATAGCAATTATAAGTGTATGAGTTTGAGTCTCAAATGGTTTATTTAGTTAATCGGAAGCTTAGCTAAAAAGACTTTTGTATAGATACTAGAAATCCATTTTAGCGAAATTAAGAATGAAATAAGATAACTCAATCAAATGCATAATAAGATGTAGGGGCCGGTAAAATAATAAGCCGATTATATTTATAACTGGAAAACTTCAATGGTCAATAATTAGGTGATAGTCAGCATTCTGAACAAAAATTATGATATTTCGATATTTTATGTCATGTAAATGTTGTATGTAAATTCATATTTTATGATAAATTCGTTAGTTCTGAGACAAGCTGTTGGACCAGTTTCTCTGATATCTGCTGAATCGTCAACCATTCTTCGTTACAACGATCCTGAGCTTGGGATTGACGGTAAAATGAACACCTCTGCAAAGTTTGTATCCGATGAGGATTCTTTCTGGTACCAAGTACACTTTGATGATATATATTGTGTAGATCAAGTGATGAGTTTGGATTCAGATATCTACACTCATACTTGGACCTGCATGGAAAGTGGTTGTGGTGATCCGTGTGAGGGAAGAATGTGTAAATATGTAGATGTCACTGTTTTGAACGAAAGTAATGTAGACGAAAACGAAAACATGTCATCAAGATCAAGCTCTTGTGGGAAATTTTCGTCTACTAATATCCCTGCAAACTGTGGAGACGGGGTCAGAATATCCATCTCGAAAGAAAACGCTAAAACTTTGGATTACGACTTCTTTGAGGTTTCCGAATTTTCCGTAACTGGTCGCAAACAAGGTAAATTCAGACAATTATCGTCTCCACTAAACAATAATCAACTTTGTTAAAATGATTACTGCTTTACAATGAAACTATTGGATATTAAAACAATCAATTTACTCTCATAGTGTAGTTGAGTAATATGAGTATGCACGGTTTCTAACAATACAGGGTACTTTTTAAGGTAATTCTGCATCAAAATTTGGTTTATTAGATTTCCATTTAATTTAATGTTCATAGCAAAATAGGATATATACCATCACATTTGTCAAATGATTAATCCAGATTTTCAGCTCTGAAACCACAAGTCAAAGAGGAAATCCAAGTAACATCTGCTCAATCATCTGTGATACTATACGACCTGATGTCTGAACTCGGAATAGATACTCCTCGCAGATACATATCAGATGACATTTCTTCCTGGTATATCCGAGTAGATTTTGATGAAACGTACTGCGTGGATAAAGTATTGAGTATAAATGGAGGAGAAACCACTCACAGTTGGGAGTGTTCTGAGGATGGTTGTGGAATGGCTCCGTGTAAGGGGTCCAGGTGTAACGACCTTGAAGTGTCCGTTCTCAACCTGGATCTACAAGAGGATCTACCTGCTAATTGTGGGAACGCGGTTAGGATATCTATACCTCAAACAGATGGTAAACTGTTGAATTTTGATTATTTTGGAATCTCTGAGATAGCAGTGACTGGACAACTTTATGTCGGGCCAACGCCCACTTCGATGTATCAAGACGACACTGACGCCCTCTGTTCAGTATTAGGTAGTTTTAATTTTCTATTTAATTCAATTAAAGTTTGTGCTATATAGTACGAATTGAAATTATAAAATTTCACTTTGAAATTCAACCTCCACCCAATAAAATATGATTTTTTTATTTAACTTATTCAGCTCTTAGACAAACTGTTGGAGAAGTAGAGCTCAAGTCTGCTGAATCGTCAACCATTCTTCGTTACAACGATCCTGAGCTTGGGATTGACGGTAAAATGAACACCTCTGCAAAGTTCGTATCCGATGAGGATTCTTTCTGGTACCAAGTACACTTTGATGATATATATTGTGTAGATCAAGTGATGAGTTTGGATTCAGATATCTACACTCATACTTGGACCTGCATGGAAAGTGGTTGTGGTGATCCGTGTGAGGGAAGAATGTGTAAATATGTAGATGTCACTGTTTTGAACGAGAATCGTCACAATGCATTAACAGGAATGACGTCCACATCTTGTGGTGATTTGTCAACTCTTAAGATCCCAGAAAACTGTGGAGATGGGGTCAAAATATCGATATCAAAGGAAAACGCCAAAACATTGGGTTATGACTTTTTTGAGGTTTCCGAGTTTTCTGTAACTGGTCGAAAACAAGGTATGATTCAGAATGTTGAGCTGGTTATTTCATTTCGAACAATATTCATCAATTTTGTCGATGGATTCAAATTCCAAAGGCGCCTTCCATTCATTTAGGGGTACCAAGGGGGAACGTTTGAGCTAGTTCCCAGATGTTTTTTCACCTAAGCAAATGCGGGATCCACCTAAGCAAATGCGTAAGATTTATTAGTTCGGCGTCTGCCAGATAATTAATGCAAAATTATTTTCATGCCCTTGGTAAAGTTACAATGCAGATATATACACATTACACAATACACTACACATATACATTATACATTATACAACCATTGACTTCACTCTGCGTTAGAAGAAGTAAGATTCCTTCTGTATCATCCTAAATAAATTTATTCATTTGCAGTTAAAGTTGTGAAAATAGTTGTGCCCATGTTAACCACAACACAATTACATCCTATAAAATTCAGCAAAATCATTTTTGTCAGACTGATATTTTTGAAAATTTCAGCTGTGACGCCACAAATTAAAGAGGAAATTCAAGTAACATCTGCTCAATCATCTGTGATACTATACGACCTGATGTCTGAACTCGGGATAGACACTCCTCGCAGATACATATCAGATGACATTTCTTCCTGGTATATCCGAGTAGATTTTGATGAAACGTACTGCGTGGATAAAGTATTGAGTATAAATGGAGGAGAAACCACTCACAGTTGGGAGTGTTCTGAGGATGGTTGTGGAATGGCTCCGTGTAAGGGGTCCAGGTGTAACGACCTTGAAGTGGCCGTTCTCAACCTGGATCTACAAGAGGATCTACCTGCTAATTGTGGGAACGTGGTTAGGATATCCATACCTCAAACAGATGGTAAACTGTTGGATTTTGATTATTTTGGAATCTCTGAGATAGCAGTGACTGGACAACTTTATGTCGGGCCAACGCCCACTTCCGTGTATCAAGACGAACCGGGCGCTCTCTGCTTAGAATTTGGTATACTAGGTTTTCTTTTTCCTTTTCGTATACAATTCACTTTTAATCTGAATTTCAAAACCAACTACATGTAAACATTTTATTTCGGCCAATCTTAAATTGATCACACTTGCAGTGACACAAAATAAATCGGATCAATTTATATTTTATTCAGGTCTTAGACAAACTGTTGGAAAAGTAGAGCTCAAGTCTGCTGAATCTTCAACCATTCTTCGTTACAACGATCCTGAGCTTGGGATTGACGGTAAAATGGACACTTCTGCAAAGTTTGTATCCGATGAGGATTCTTTCTGGTACCAAGTACACTTTGATGATATATATTGTGTAGATCAAGTAATGAGTTTGGATTCAGATATCTACACTCATACTTGGACCTGTATGGAAAGTGGTTGTGGTGATCCGTGTGAGGGAAGAATGTGTAAATATGTAGATGTCACTGTTTTGAACGAAAGTAATGTAGACGAAAACGAAAACATGTCATCAAGATCAAGCTCTTGTGGGCACTTTTCGTTTACTAATATCCCTGCAAACTGTGGAGACGGAGTCAGAATATCCATCTCGAAAGAAAACGCTAAAACTTTGGATTACGACTTCTTTGAGGTTTCCGAATTTTCCGTAACTGGTCGCAAACAAGGTAAATTCAGACAATTATCGTCTCCACTAAACCGGGGGGGGGGGATCATACACTTAGTACCGGACATCACGTTGGTGGGTGGGTCATTTTTTCTTCTAAAAACACAGTTAGTACATGGTACTAACTGGTGGGTCTACTGCCCATTTTCCAGAAAAACAGTTAGTACATGGTACTAAAGGGGGTGTCTAACCCAAAAAAAACCCAATTTACCTCAAATTTCAATTTTGGGAATGGGTTTTGAGGTTTTTTAAAGTTTTTTTTTTGGGTTTTTTTTTAATTTTTAAAATTTTGTTTAGTCTTCCTTTAAAGTTTAAATGAGCTCTTTAAAAAAAAGAAATTTCTGGGTGGGTATCTTATTTTATATACCAAAAAACAATTAGTACCACGATTTTTCGACAGTTAGTACCGCAAAAGGCGGCAAAAGGGGTGGGTGTCTTACGTATTATCCAAAAAAACAGTTAGTACCGCACAGGGGGTGGGTGGGTCTAGTGAAAAATATCCAAAACTACACTTAGTCGACGTGATGTCCGGCACTTGGTACCTGATCCCCCCCCCCCCCCCCCCCCCCCGACTAAACAATAATCAACTTTGTTAAAATGATTATTGCTTTACAATGAAACTATTGAATATTAAAACAATCAATTTACTCTCATAGTGTAGTTGAGTAATATGAGTATGCACGTTTTCTAACAATACAGGGTACTTTTTAAGGTAATTCTGCATCAAAATTTGGTTTATTAAATTTCGATTTAATTTAATGTTCATAGCAAAATAGGATATATACCATCACATTTGTCAAATGATTAATCCAGATTTTCAGCTCTGAAACCACAAGTCAAAGAGGAAATCCAAGTAACATCTGCTCAATCATCTGTGATACTGTACGACCTGATGTCTGAACTCGGAATAGACACTCCTCGCAGATACATATCAGATGACATTTCTTCCTGGTATATCCGAGTAGATTTTGATGAAACGTACTGCGTGGATAAAGTATTGAGTATAAATGGAAGAGAAACCACTCACAGTTGGGAGTGTTCTGAGGATGGTTGTGGAATGGCTCCGTGTAAGGGGTCCAGGTGTAACGACCTTGAAGTGTCCGTTCTCAACCTGGATCTACAAGAGGATCTACCTGCTAATTGTGGGAACGTGGTTAGGATATCCATACCTCAAACAGATGGTAAACTGTTGGATTTTGATTATTTTGGAATCTCTGAGATAGCAGTGACTGGACAACTTTATGTCGGGCCAACGCCCACTTCCGTGTATCAAGACGAACCGGGCGCTCTCTGCTTAGAATTTGGTATACTAGGTTTTCTTTTTCCTTTTCGTATACAATTCACTTTTAATCTGAAGTTCAAAACCAACTACATGTAAACATTTTATTTCGGCCAATCTTAAATTGATCACACTTGCAGTGACACAAAATAAATCGGATCAATTTATATTTTATTCAGGTCTTAGACAAACTGTTGGAAAAGTAGAGCTCAAGTCTGCTGAATCTTCAACCATTCTTCGTTACAACGATCCTGAGCTTGGGATTGACGGTAAAATGAACACCTCTGCAAAGTTTGTATCCGATGAGGATTCTTTCTGGTACCAAGTACACTTTGATGATATATATTGTGTAGATCAAGTGATGAGTTTGGATTCAGATATCTACACTCATACTTGGACCTGTATGGAAAGTGGTTGTGGTGATCCATGTGAGGGAAGAATGTGTAAATATGTAGATGTTACTGTTTTAAATGATGATAAACACAGCACATTTACAAAATTTTCATCGAAATCTTGTGGGGATTTGACATCTGTAGATATCCCAGCAAACTGTGGAGATGGGGTCAAAATATCGATATCAAAAGAAAATGCCAAAACATTAGATTATGACTTCTTTGAGGTTTCCGAGTTTTCAGTGACTGGTCGCAGGCAAAGTGAGTTTCTTTTTTATTTCATGTAATTTCTGCCAATATATAATTGTACTTTAGTCGTTCATCATCATGTTTGTACTTTAACTCTCCGGTGATAAGAGCTTCGTAGCAGATTAGCTCATTCTTTATGTCTTGAACGGAAATTTGAGCATGTTTGCAGTTTGTATAATATCCCTATTGGTTTTGGTCTTGTGATTCTGTGCTGTTTACCGCTATCCCGCTGGAAGGCTTTGCTCCTTTTTTTTCCGCCAAATGTTAACCTCCTTAGAATATTTAGCTTCAATGTCCGTTCGAAGACATGCTTGCGCCAATAATGATGTCTGCCCAAAATTATGTCCGTTCACAAAATGTTCATCCAAAGCTGGTTTGCTAAGAGAGCAATTTAAGATTACTGACATAACAGTAACTGAAATTCCACCCGAATCCTTACTTAATATGATAATATAACTCTTATATTCGTTCATATGTCATAACCTCTGCTCCTTTAGCACTACGAACGAAAGTCAAGGGAGAAATTCAAGTAACATCTGCTCAATCATCTGTGATACTATACGACCTGATGTCTGAACTCGGAATAGACACTCCTCGCAGATACATATCAGATGACATTTCTTCCTGGTATATCCGAGTAGATTTTGGAGACACATACTGCGTGGATAAAGTATTGAGTATAAATGGAGGAGAAACCACTCACCGTTGGACTTGTGCCAAATTAGATGGCTGTGGAACGTGCGTGGGATCCAGGTGTAAACAAATACGAGTCTCCGTTTTGAACGATGAATCCCTAGGTGCAGATTTGCCGGCTAATTGTGGCGCTGCGGTTAAAATATCGATTCCAGAGGCGGATGGGAAGGTGCTGAACTTTGATTATTTTGGGGTATCGGAGATTTTGGTTATAGGTCGGCAGTTTGTTCCTGAACTAGGTGAGCTATCATTGGAATAGTTTTAAAGTTTTGGTGGATTATTTCAAAATACTTCCAAAGTCACATTCAAGAATTAAGACTAGACGGAGTATTTGTGTACACTGTTCATTGTACATTGTACATTGTACATTGTACACTGTACACGGTACACTGTAAACTGTACACTGTACAGACTGTATAATACAGACTGCAGGACGGTTGTATAACAATTTAATACTCTTACTATTTCAGTAACCAGACAGAAACTTAGGGCTGTACCGATGAAATCTGCTGAATCTTCGATCATTCTTCGTTACAACGACGGTAAAATGGACACTTCTGCAAAGTTCGTATCCGATGAGGATTCTTTCTGGTACCAAGTACACTTTGATGATATATATTGTGTAGATCAAGTGATGAGTTTGGATTCAGATATCTACACTCATACTTGGACCTGCATGGAAAGTGGTTGTGGTGATCCGTGTGAGGGAAGAATGTGTAAATATGTAGATGTCACTGTTTTGAACGAAAGCAATGTAGACGAAAGCAGCATTGAAGATGAAAATAAAATCATGCGTGGTAATTGTGGAAATGGAGTTAAACTTTCGATAACCAAAGAAAATGCCAAAAAGTTGGGGTACGATTTTTTCGAGGTTTCGGAGCTTGCTGTATTTGGACGTCAGTTAGGTTAGTTTTATAGTCAGTACTTCTGTAGTGACGAGTTATTACATTACATTCCTAATACATAATTACTTGAGTAGTGCGATTTCGTGACCAAAATAGTTCTTGATTAACATTTACGCAAAAAAATGAGAATCCAAATACAAGTTTAGTACACATTTTAATTTTAAAAGGCACGCTGAGTCGAAAAATCACTTTAATTGTTTAGTCTTAGATACAATTTCTTTCCATTTACACTTTTACATTTTAGTTTCAATAGGTAAACATTAAACTATAGCTCCAAATATTCAGTTCAGAGACAAAAGGTGAACGGTGAAATAGAGAACCTATCCGCTGCACAAACCATCACCCTTAAAGATCTTAGTTCTCATCTTGGGATCAAGGCAAAACGGAGGTACATATCTGATGAGATTTCCTCCTGGACCCTAAAGATAACCTTTCAAAACGTTCACTGTGTTGATGAAGTACAAAGTTTCGACGAAAATACCAAAACTCACAGCTGGAACTGCTTTATAGATGGTTGCAACACGCTGTGCCAGGGTCTCCTTTGTGAAAACACCGTAGTTTCAGTGACAAACAGGAAGCGTGACCCAGTGTGGCCAGCTAACTGCGGGGATGGAGTCCAAATATTTATATCTCAATCTGACTTGGACAACAAGGTTTTGGATTTTGATTTTTTCGGGATCTCGGAAATTGTGGTTATCGGCCGACAACTAGACACAATTCAAAATTCCGATTTTGAATTTTCTTGAGATTGATTTTAGAATATTTTACATGTGGATAAGAATTGAAATTGAATGCGCAAAATATTTCATTATTTGAATTCGAGCGAAAATTGTTACTCTGATTTCCAGTCGGTATTTTGGTGAAAATAACACTGATGATACTGATGGGTATATTATTTTGTAATACCCTAATTTTTTACATTGAAATTTAAAAATGCTTATAGATATGCATTATACGAGTACAACATGAAACCTATGATATAATTATAAGCGATAGACAAACCAGCCAGCTTTGTATACTATTACTTATAGTTTATATCATACACGCTACTCTAACTGCGTATAATGCGATTACACTATTAATTGCACGAGGCGCAGCCGAGTGCAATAACTGGTGTTATCGTATTATACATGCAGTTAGATCCGCGTATATCTCCACGCTTCTGGTGTTATATTCAGTGCGATTAGTTTATAATCGCACGGACTGTGTTGTTAGTTGCTCTAAAAACAGTGAGATAATAAACTAATCGCACTGTTTTGAGAGCACTGAGCAACTCAAAGAACAGCGCACTTCCACCCTCCACTTCAACCTCCTCCGAGAAACGAATTGACGTCATCCGCCGACTCTCTCTTTCGGTTGGTACAATCTAGTAGGTCCACAAAAATGTCTGATAACCAGCTCAACAGGGGTCAAATATAGATAAAAAGAGTAAAGATAGAATAACCGTCCGATGCTTATTCATATTGCTCCTCTCATCTTTGACATCGAATTAGAACCCTCCCTCTATCTCTCTCCCTCTCTCTCTCTCTCTCTCTCTCTCTCTCTCTCTCTCTCTCTCTCTCTCTCTCTCTCTCTCTCTCTCTCTCTCTCTCTCTCTCTCTCTCTCTCTCTCTCTCTCTCTCTCTCTCTCTCTCTCTCTCTCTCTCTCTCTCTCTCTCTCTCTCTCTCTCTCTCTCTCTCTCTCTCTCTCTCTCTCTCTCTCTCTCTCTCTCTCTCTCTCTCTATCTCTCTCTCTCTCTCTCTCTCTCTCTCTCTCTCTCTCTCTCTCTCTCTCTCTCTCTCTCTCTCTTCTCTCTCTCTCTCTCTCCCTCTCTCTCTCTCTATCTATCTATCTATCTATCTATCTATCTAAATGAAAGCTGTAATCTATCATGTTATTTGGCTCCAAGATAATAACCGACTTTGAGAAAATTACCCAGAATTCTAATATGAACAATAGATGTAAATTTTGAAAGATTAGCGGATAGGAAATAGAGATAAAAGGCGGGAACTGCTCGTATGTGTTTTACTGGTTTGACCAATACGAGGTCGCGTCTACAGTCACGTGGTCTGTCTCCACTAATAGGGAGCTCTATGTGGTGTGATTGGTCATTCCGCTGGCGAGTAAACTCCCCGGACAGAGTGTTTCCTGATAATATGGTCCGTGTGCTCAGTTCTTTTTTATCAGTTGACCGTTACTACATTACAGTAATGATTTCGTCATTTTGTCGGAGAGCTTACACTTACGGTTATAATTATTAGCTTATATTTTCTGATTTTGCTGCTAAAGTTTAGCTTAGGCTTCTAAATCTAACGACTTCACAATTTTCAGCAAATTCACGAAGTGTTTATCATAGATTGTCGTGTAGAATTGATATTTAATTCTGTTTTTGTACTTTACATTTATCAAATTAATTTGGCAGTTATGCGTCTCGTCATTCGTCATTTTCTTTATTAGTCATTCATTATTCGGCACTATCCGTCGCGGAGTCGAGTCCGCGGCGGAGCCGCCGGACTCCGGGCGGACTCCGAGCGGACTCCGGCGGAGCCGCCGGACTCCGAGCGGACTCCGGCGGTGCTCCGCCAAAATGTATTTACAGTGGACTCGAGTACATTTTGGCGGACTCCGAGCGGAGCCGAGCGGACTCCGAGCGGACTTTAAAGTCCGCCGCGGACTCCGAGCGGCTCCGCGGCGGCTCGGCGGAGTGTCCGCCGCGGATTAAGCCACTAGGCGGACTCCGGTCCGCCGCGGACTCCGGCGGAGTGCTTGGCGGACTCCGCCGGACCTCTCCGCCAGACTTGAATCCGGCGGAGTCCGGCGGAGCTTGGCGGACTCCGCCAGCTCGGCGGACTCCGCTCGGAGTCCGCCGGACTCCAACAGAGTCCACTGACTTCCGACATCCGTCTTCCGACCCTCGGCTAAATTTGTCACGTGACATACAACATAGCATTTTGCAATATTGTGGTCAGATGAAAAGGTCGCTAGTGATAAACCTTAACCATTACCCTCACAATGTCAATAGTGTACAACTCTAGTCCTAACTTTGACCCTATAATGTATAAACGTTGACGGCCCTAACCCTCCACCAAACCGTCCGCAGCGAAATATCAATGTCATTGACTGGTCACGTGACCAAAACAATTTTTGTCATATTATCTCATATGGGGAAGCGTTTTTAACAAGCAAAAATACGTCGACCATCACAGGACGACGCCAGCCAGCACTCTCTACGCTCTTCGAGCTCCGATCGTCCTGTGACGAAGTAAGGACGAAGCCTGAGGTCCTCAGGTAACATCGACCACCGATTGAAAATTCAAAAATTTTTTGACATAAAGGTCAAATGTAAAACTAAAATCTTGATGTTGATTGATTGACGACGTCAATTTTTGAGCACAGCGCTTGATTGACAATGTCAATCCTTCGCATCTCGCCGATCTGCTTAAGTGGTTGCGAGAAGCATTATTTGATGCGCGCGCGACCCAGTAGTGCATCGCGCTACAAGCACAGCGCGAGCGCATATTGCGGAAAAGGACCGCGTAGCTAGTCAAGATGTTGATAAATATTTGGCTTGTGGCGCGATGTGTTGCTCTAACTATAGCCCTCTCGCTTGCAGTAGCGCGACCGCCGGAGGCGGCAATGACCTGGTTAGCTAGGTAAACGCGATGTGCCTTGTAGGATGAAATCCTACTAGCTGACGCCGTTCGCAGCTGTGCTGCTCGCTGTACGTCAGCGATCGAAATTTATACGCGTATCCCCCGTTAAGATTTGTCATACGTTGTATGACCCGCCGCGCACGAAGTGCGCGGCTCCCCCTGTAGCGTCGAAGACGCTACTATAGTGAAGCGACCGTGGGGGTCACCACGTGATACAAGTTAAGATGTGCCACTCGACGCGCCACACAATTTTTTTCGTTGCTCGTCGCACGTCGACGAACAACGAAGCTCGTTGCGACGCGCCGCGCAATGAGCTGCCAGGCTAGGACATCGTCCTGGTCCAACAAATTTTGGCGAGCGATTTTCTCCAAAAATTTAATGAGGGCGTCGACGTGCGACGAGCAACGAGAAAAATTGCGTGGCGCGTCGGGTGGCACATCTTAACGGGTGATACGCGTATAAATTTCGATCGCTGACGTACAGCGAACATCACAGCTGCGAGTGGCGTCAGCTAGTAGGATTTCATCCTACAATGCAAGGCACATCGCGTTTATTTAGCTAACCAGGTGCTTTCGCGCCGCTGCGGGCGCGCTTGTTCCACAAGTCATTTCCGGCGGTCGCGCGCTACTGCAAGCGAGAGGGCTATAGTTAGAGCAACACATCGCGCCACAAGCCAAATATTTATCAACATCTTGACTAGCTACGCGGTCCTTTTCCGCATGCGCTCGCGCTGTGCTCAAAAATTGACGTCGTCAATCAATCAGCATCAAGATTTTAGTTTTACATTTGACCTTTATGTCAAAAAATCTTTGAATTTTCAATCGGTGGTCGATGTTACCTGAGGACCTCAGGCTTCGTCCTTACTTCGTCACAGGACGATCGGAGCTCGAAGAGCGTAGAGAGTGCTGGCTGGCGTCGTCCTGTGATGGTCGACGTATTTTTGCTTGTTAAAAACGCTTCCCCATATGAGATAATATGACAAAAATTGTTTTGGTCACGTGACCAGTCAATGACATTGATATTTCGCTGCGGACGGTTTGGTGGAGGGTTAGGGCCGTCAACGTTTATACATTATAGGGTCAAAGTTAGGACTAGAGTTGTACACTATTGACATTGTGAGGGTAATGGTTAAGGTTTATCACTAGCGACCTTTTCATCTGACCACAATATTGCAAAATGCTATGTTGTATGTCACGTGACAAATTTAGCCGAGGGTCGGAAGACGGAGGTCAGAAGTCAGTGGACTCTGTTGGAGTCCGGCGGACTCCGAGCGGAGTCCGCCGAGCTGGCGGACTCCGCCAAGCCCCGCCGGACTCCGCCGAATTCAAGTCTGGCGGAGAGGTCCGGCGGAGTCCGCCAAGCACTCCGCCGGAGTCCGCGGCGGACCGGAGTCCGCCTAGTGGCTTAGTCCGCGGCGGACACTCCGCCGAGCCGCCGCGGAGCCGCTCGGAGTCCGCGGCGGACTTTAAAGTCCGCTCGGAGTCCGCTCGGCTCCGCTCGGAGTCCGCCAAAATGTACTCGAGTCCACTGTAAATACATTTTGGCGGAGCACCGCCGGAGTCCGCTCGAAGTCCGGCGGCTCCGCCGGAGTCCGCTCGGAGTCCGCTCGAAGTCCGGCGGCTCCGCCGCGGACTCGACTCCGCGACGGATAGTGCCCATTATTCATATGTAAAGGTAAGATTTTTTGTTTTCCGACTAGGTTGTTTAGACCTAGCAACCTAGACATTATGCTAAATCTGGTCAACCCTAAATTATACGAAACATTATGATTTAAAACACTTTTATTTCACTGAAAGACAGATAAAATGAATGATAACACATTCTATAGTGGTTAGTAATTTCATAGTAATTAGCATTATATTAATAACTACAATTTAATAACGAATAGTTAAGTTTGGTTAGTGGGTGAAATTATTTGCAAAATAACGCTCAATTGATAGCTTAATATGTTTGTATTGTTATCAGCACAGTGGCGCAATCGGTTAGACATAAGCCTTGTCTGTCTGTCTAGCCCGGACGTAGCGAGATCGAGTCCCGGCTTGGTCAAAAGTTTTCAAAAATCGGTAATTAGTTCGTAAAAGTTCACTAAGCTGTGCAATCACACACTAATTCTAAAGGCTTATGTATACATGTTTCATAACAATAGAACTAGTCACCCACTAACGTTATTACAAAGTAACATCATATCTAATATCGTATAATGCGAGCGTAGTTACTCAGTTTATCTAACAAATGTAACATGTAACGTGTATCGTCTAATGTTCTACCCTTACGTGGGTACATAACAACAGAGCAGTGTAC